GTCCTTAAACGACGCAGACGGAATCACTACGATACCACAATATAAGACTCCGTCCGGTCTTCATTTATTCAACAGTACCAGGTTATGTTCCACGATAGCTCAATATAGCCAACAGTGATCAAGTTATCACCTATAGCTCGTAGGTGACAGGAAATCACCCGACTTCTATCGGTCTAAGCATAGCAAAACATGACAAGCGTTTCTAGACTTAAATAGGATTCATGGTAGATATTTTTAGTCAATGAAAGGTAATATGCAGCAAGTGTTTTCAAATAACTCCTGACACGTAATGTATCAATACGAATAACTTTAGGTGACATTAATAAAGTAGGAAGATTTATAATGCTTCGGGACTTGCCTTTCACGAACGTTGCTGGCTAATGATCTGGGCACTTGGGAAGGTGATCAACCTCAAGCTTGCCTTCTCCGGGAACCTCCTGATGCTGCACTTCCTGATTCTCCTCCTATGGATCGACATCGAGCTCCACCAACATGATCTCCTCGGTGGCACCTATTGCATGCATATGCATAAGTAAGTCTCATGAATGCATAAGAAGGATCATAGATGATGTGATAAGGGAATGTACATGCTACGACAATGAGGTAAAGTAGCACAATGATAACAATTGCTAACTCCATGCTAACTGAGTAGGTGCATATCTCGTCTCTATCTACTTACAAATTTCACACAAGGCAAGGTCTAAGCTACACGTGGCAGTTACAAGTTCACATCATAACTGAAGTTCTACATATCCAAATGTTATGATCTTAGACTTTATGGAAATATTACAAAATTGCCTACAACTCTTATTTAATTACCAAAAGCTAATTCATAATCTATCCTAACCAAAATAGGCAATCTATCCAGTGCTGTCCAGAAATTCCAAAGAACAAGCATTTCGGGAGACTAACTTTAAACAGCTATAACTCGTAAACCCTTCGGTTTATTACCCTTAAATTTTAACACAAGATAGATGAAGAAGTTCCCTACAACTTTGTTATTAACCATTTCTACAGCAAACATCATTTTGACCAAGCAACATGCCCAACAACAGAATCTGTCTGAAAACACTTTTAAATCGAATTATACAGCAACAATATTTTTACTACATGTAAGCATTCAAAATTTGACATCACCAAGTATACCAACAGTTCAATAATACCAAATACACTCAAAAAAACATAATGGTAAAGCTCAAACTATTCATTTGAATGCTTTTATTAATTTAATTAGATAATTAGGATAAAAACAAACATATACAAATGTGCACAATAAATTCTTAAAAAATTACAGTGGCTTCCACGTACTACCAATAGACTACTGCAAAAGTTTCATACCATTTTAACATGTATAACATCCTCTACAAAAATGACAAGCTAACAAGGCCTATTTTAGTGAAAATAGTAAACTCTATAGAAAAGTGTCAAACAATAGATTATATATTTTTCCTAGCTTCATATTAATGCCATAATACTGTACAAAAATTTGCATATCAATATGTTACATATTTTTACCCCTACAATTTTCCTCAGAAAATACCATTTATTAATAGATAAATAGAAAGGCCCTACTTCAATCAAGTTTACAGCAAGTTTATTATTTTTCCTAGCTAGAGCATGTCAACACAAAACCAACAAAATTGGAATCACAATTTTATGAGTTTTCTAGCTCAAGATATCTATTTTATAAGATTACTAACATTCAAAAAGCACTTGTTTAACTATATTTTAATCACCAAGAAAAATACTAAAAAATGTAAATATCATATTTTTATAAAACACTGCACTTCATGAGGATTACAGCAAAATTTAGTTCACAAGAATTGAACATCTAGAACCCCACTTATGATTTTTCAAAGTTGCATACAAATCTGAAATAAATGAACTAGCTTTCAACTCTATAGCCGCTGACAGCTGGGGTCCACAAATCAGACGGGCCCGCGCATCAGTGGCACAAAAACAGGGGAGCGCCGCTGTCCGGCCGGAGTTCACCGACGACGAGCTCTCCGACGACGGCACCGGCACTACGACGATCCCCACGACATCCCGCACACAGTGAGCTAACTAATTGGATCGATTGCGGCCACTAACGGTGATGGCAGCGCTCATGGCGGCACGGCGGACGCGGTCGACGACGAGGCGCTGGAGCTGGTCGAGATAGCTCAATCGAGGGTTCGGCCAAGGTTCTACATGCTACGGTGATGCTAGCGCACCCACTATCACGGCTAAAAGCGGTTGGAGGCGGTCCGGCCACAGCGACGTGGCACGGCGGTGAAACACCGACGAGGCCATGCGCGGCACGGAGGCTTTACCGTGCGCGGCTAGCAAGCAGGGCGGTTGCGGTGAGGCGATGGGATCACGACGGAACTGCGGTGGTGGCGTAGGAGTGACGCAGTGCGAGCTGGGTGGCTAGCAATGGCGACGGTGGCGAGCTCTCGCTGCTGCGACTGCTGCGCGAAGGCGAAGGAGGAGGCAGGAGGGAAATGAGAGCACACGGAGTCACGGGCGAGCGCTGGGGGGTGAAGGCGCGTCGTGGCCCAACATGGCCTGACTGGGCAGGTCGTCGGCGACGTGCGGCCTCCACGCGGTGGCCAGACCCTAACGCCGGTCGGCCACTGTTGGCCAGCCGATCAGGCCATTAGAGCCAGCACCCGAGCCTAACAGCGCGTTTTGACGACGATCAATCTCCTAATCCATAGCTCATCAGCGAAATCTATCTTAACAAAAGTTGTAGCCCTATATACCACCTCCAATTCCTCTTTAAAGATTAAGGTCTAATTCTCAATAAATAAAGAGTAAAATCATGCACTGAATCAGCTCATGACCTAAAAATCAAACTGAAAATCAGAAATGACTTAGAAAATTTCTAAGTGTTGAATAATTATGTTTTACTGATTTTTGTGAGCTTAAAAAGACCAAACTATGCACTGAATCAGCTCATGACCTAAAAATAAAAGTTGTTGCTCTACTCAAATACTACAACTTTGCTTAAGGATGCTTTGCCATGCAACGACTCTATGACATAATTCAAACTAGGTCAAACATACCACTAAAAATGATGACTTACACCCTAACTAGGACTTAGAGACCAAACTAGCCCTAGACATGAATACCAAAGTTGTTCCTTATGCTATTCCAAACATGTTTAAGGTATTTCCAAGGTTCCACACATATTTCATACATTGGTTACATGTAAACCCTAACCTAAGTAAGGCAATTAAGTAACAATACATGCAATATAAGCCAACATAGATAGAATACATGATATGCTTATGCTCATGAATGCCCAATGATGATTGTGATCATGCAATATCAAGGTTAGATGCATGCTTAACACCTAGGGTGTTACACGCCATCGTGGTGCGTTGGGGAAGCCTTGACGCTATGTGTCTCTGCGATGCCATATGCAACTGGGTTGGGGCGCTGGGCACTAGGTAGACCTGGCTCAGGCTCACATGTCACATGTGTCGCGCATCGCACTGTTTGCTGAGTGACCTGAATCTGTACATGGAACACAACATTTCTCTTGCGCCCTTAACACGTGGTAATAAAGATCACGGTCTAGCCATCAATACATCTCCGAGAGTCTTTCTAAAATTTACTACCGCTATCCCTAAAAGAATGCAACTGTGGGTTGCGTGCCAGTTAAAGTACTTCACGTTTGACCAAGTTTGTAGCAAATAGTATTCACATTTATGGCTCCAAATTAATTTATTATGAAAATATATTTCATAATTAATTTAATGTTATTTATTTTATATTATAAATATTTATATTTTTTATCTATAATTGGTCAAACTTGATATAATAAAACATAACACTGTTTCAGAATTGTATTGTTTTGGGGACGGAGGGAATACTCTCTAAATCATCATTTAGAGATTTATTACAAACCTAATCAAAATTAAAAAAGTTTGACCAGCACATATCCTATGGCGACACTTATTTTAGAACAGAGAAAGTATTTGTTACTACTGTTTAAAAAGAATATAGTCCATACAAAGAAAACATAACCAAAACACTAGCCTTATGTACTCGGAAGCGGAGACCACATAAACAAATTTCGAACATGTTGTATCTAATTTGCATGTGTTTCTCTTCCTGGCGCCTTATGTGACGTGACTAATTCTTCATTTTCTCCATGTTACACGCGTTGTTCGTTTGGCTTATAAGCCGTACTTTTTCAGCCAACGAACAGTATTTCTCTCACAGCAAATCAGCCAACCGTACTTTCAACCATGGCTTATCAGCCAAGCGAACAGAGCAATAATCCTTGATTGATAGAGATGATATGACACATATAGGTGGAAAACCGCTTGATTTATGGTCTAGCTTTGATCTATTTGATTATTATAGGTAGGCATGTTGAATCGCTAACTAACACTTGAATTTTTGTAGAGCTAGATCTTTTTTTTCTGGAAACTTTTAGAGATACTTTCATGAGCTCTAAATATTTTATTTATTTATCTTAATTTAGTTTTTTTTTTAAATATAGGATTATAGCATTTTTTGTGGTTTAAAAATTTTACTAAGTTTTTTATCAATTTTTTTTAACTACAAATGCATCCAAACAAGTCCTTAAAGGGTTTGAGAGTTGAGGGGTTATGATATTCGGAATTGAAGTTTAGAAGGAAAATCAGACCACAGATAGTTCATAGAGATAAATGGGTTATTTTTTTCCAGAAATATTTGTGCTGCAATTGATCCTGGGCCTCAAATTCGGCCTGCAACCAGGGCCTAAGTTAAAGAGCAAAGAAGGGCCCCCGTCACCCGTCAGGGGCGAACCAGATCTCGTGTAGACTTCGACAGGGATTGGATATCCACGGAACCAATCACGCACGGGAATGCGATTCCCAGCCCACCTGTGCCGTTCCAGTGGGCCATCCCTAACTCCAAGCCCAACCGCACTACCACATGTCCACATCTCGTCGCATCATCCACTCCGCCGCAAACGCGCTCGCAGCTCCGCAACGCCGCAGGGAATGGTCGCCGCCACCGCCATGGCCACCGCTGCATCCGCGGCCGCGCCGCTACTCAATGGGACCCGAAGACCTGCGCGGCTCCGCCATCGCGGACTCCGCGTGCGCTGCGCCGCTGTGGCGGGCGGCGCGGCCGAGGCACCGGTCTCCACCGGCGCGCGGCTGTCCGCGGACTGCGTCGTCGTGGGCGGCGGCATCAGTGGCCTCTGCACCGCGCAGGCGCTGGCCACGCGGCACGGCGTCGAGGAAGTGCTTGTCACGGAGGCCCGTGCCCGTCCCGGCGGCAACATCACCACCGTCGAGCGCCCCGAGGAAGGATACCTCTGGGAGGAGGGTCCCAACAGCTTCCAGCCCTCCGACCCCGTTCTCACCATGGCCGTACGCTCCTCGCTGGCGCCCCGGCGTCTTCTAATCAGAATCTTGCGCAGGCGTGAAATTGAAATGCTGAATGGATTGTGTGCGCGCGCGCAGGTGGACAGCGGGCTGAAGGATGACTTGGTTTTTGGGGACCCCAACGCACCGCGGTTCGTGCTGTGGGAGGGGAAGCTGAGGCCCGTGCCATCCAAGCCCGCCGACCTCCCGTTCTTCGATCTCATGAGCATCCCTGGCAAGCTCAGGGCCGGTCTCGGCGCGCTTGGCATCCGCCCGCCTCCTCCAGTTCGTGCTCTCCCCATGCTGCATTCTTAAATCTTGTACGTTTTGATTGTTCCATTGCCAATGGGGCTGAGCGTTTCTGGCGAAGGTTTCAGGGCCGCGAGGAGTCAGTGGAGGAGTTCGTGCGCCGCAACCTCGGTGCTGAGGTCTTTGAGCGCCTCATTGAGCCTTTCTGCTCAGGTGCTGATTGCAGTGTGCTATCGCTGTTTGTTCTAGTCTGCTACTTGCAGCGATTAGCCGATTACCATAAGAAATTGACAATTTCTATGTAAACCTAAGGTGTCTATGCTGGTGATCCTTGCAAGCTCAGTATGAAGGCTGCATTTGGGAAGGTGTGGCGGTTAGAAGAAGCTGGAGGTAGTATTATTGGTGGAACCATCAAGACGATTCAAGAGAGGGGCAAGAATCCGAAACCACCGAGGGATCCGTGAGAGATTGATCCATTTTCTTTTTGTTCCACTAATTGTCTGTTCTGTCATATTGATCTGTTTAACCTCTTTTAGCCGTCTTCCGAAGCCAAAAGGGCAGACAGTTGCATCTTTCAGAAAGGGTCTTGCCATGCTTCCAAATGCTATCACTTCCAGGTTTGTTCTTATTGTTTTGTATATCTGCTAACAAACATGTCCGTGTGTTGCAACAAACATCTTGTTATGCTGTCACCTGGCCGACTTTTGGCTCGGATATATATGCAATGAGTGTGTCATCTGTTCCAATGTGTGTTGGATTCAAACTCCGTAATGTGGCTAGACGCATGTTGTTCTAACTTGTATTAGCATGGGTCGTAAGTCCGGGTCACACATGAGATAGAGAGGTGTGTGAGGATAATAGGATATTGTGGGAAGTAAAATATGATGGATGGAAGAATCCTTTCTGCTTTTAATATTATTAATTAGGTATATATTTATTTATTTACATAGTGAATCAGTTATGGATATGGGCCTCGTGGATTGTTTAGATAGATGGATGCCTTAGGTCGAACTTGTTTGCATAATTCAGATACAATCATACAATGTCATGGTATCACTCTTCGTTTCATATACATGGATGGGGAAAGCGCACCTACCCTTTGCACAATGTTGGTAAGGGCATTGTCATTCTTTCCATCCTTATTTATCCTGTTACTACAATATAGATGGATAGCTTCATGTTGTCATTTGAAAATACCAAGTATACAGCTGGAGGCTGTACATAGAAATTCCATGAAGCATGGTTTATAGAGCATGTTAGTGTGCATATTCCTTGCAACTTGGTTGCAAACTAGTAACAGTTGTAATATTAGATCTGATCCAGGATTATTGTTCTTTATTCAATTCTCTACATTTCTTCATCTACAGCTTGGGTAGTAAAGTCAAGCTATCATGGAAACTCACGAGCATTACAAAATCAGATGGCAAGGGATATGTTTTGGAGTATGAAACGCCAGAAGGGGTTGTTTCGGTGCAGGCTAAAAGTGTTATCATGACCATTCCATCATATGTTGCTAGCAACATTTTGCGTCCACTTTCAGTAAGTATAAACTAATCAATTTTCATGTTTTCGGAAACTGGAGTATTTTAGCTTCTTAATACCCTATAATGACATTTAATTGGAAAATGACTAGTCAGTGGTAGGGTTTGCACTTGTTAAGTGATTGATAATTTCTGCCATTTTGTGGTCAACATCTCCATTGACATTTACTAAACTACTGCAAGGCTAACAAAATTCTAAACCTTGTCTTACTTCATTGATATCTGAATGACTGTTTGTTGTTATCTTCCAAGTGGATCATTTGTCTGAAAAAATTATGGAAAGTTATGAATTTTGTTTTCGTGCTAATAATGATGAGAGTAAATGCTGAGCTTGGATAGAACAAACTAATTGAAGTGGACTGGTTGACTGGACCATTCCTTATCCTGTCAAAATTGTAGGCTTTCAAATAATAATTCAAATATGCAAGAAAATTGCTATACTCATAACTTTATACTGTGTTTCTTATAAAATGGCCTCAGTGACCAGTTGTACTATGAATCGTCTTAAGAGAACAATTTCCAGAATTAGTATGCTTAGAAAAGAAAACAAAAAGAGAAGAACTAGCACCAGGCCCTATGTTCCCCAGTATGAGAGCGGACTAATTATCAAGGAGAACCAACCATTGGTTGGGATGATGCTATAAGTGCATTGTTGATAGGTTGTTGCTGTGCTGCTTCAATAATTTGGATCTCCTTTCCCCCTATATGGTTTACTATGATACTATCTATATTACATTATTTGGTCCAAGTCCTTCAGAAGATGGTAAAATTCAGCTACATTGGCTTACATCCAATTTGCTATTTTTCCGAGAACTACATCCCAATCCTTTTTCTTTGACTATATTCTATATGTGGCTTTAAAGACACTTATTTGTTTGTCCATAGGACCATGTTGCACAGAATGTCTCGCGTGGAGTACCCATGCCATTATCCTCAAGGTCCCGAAAACAAGCTGTAGAAAAACTCTGGAACTAACTAGACCTAAGACAGTTCCTGGTGGGGCTGTAAAGTGTCCGAACCATTTAGTTAATCAGATTGACATTGCAGATTTGAACTGAAAAATAAAATCTGAACTAATTGTCAAGTTCATATAATAATTTAAAATGACAGCGCCAAGTGACCCATTATAATTATTGCTAGCTACTGGCGACATTTAAATTCCTTATTCTATTTGCCATGGCAACCAGTTGGTTATTACTCTAGTACTCTGTCCATCAATGTAAGACCTAGTTTTGAAAAGGTAAAGTACTAAAGTTTGCAAGGTTTGATCAACAATTAGGGTACCTGCAATGGGGCTGTTAAGCTCTCTACAAGATGTCTACCTAGGCGAGTGCGAACAAGAGAGAGAAGAGTACATCGTCACAGTAGTGAGAGCTGCTAGGCACATCTCTCAAAACGAGTGTCTCCCTCCCAATCTCTTGCGGCCACGGGCGTGGGCTGGGCGACGGCGCGATGCAACATGACGCGCAGCATGGCTTGCCTGTCGGTGCAAGTTCCAGCCATCACCGCCGCATGGGGGTGAGCTTGGCCACTGGCCATGCACGGGCGCGAGCTTGTCCGCCAGCCAAGCAGGGGCAAGCGTGGCTCACACGCGTCCATTGTCGCTAACGGGTGAGCCCGACGCGTCCGCCGCTAGAGGTGCATGGGAGAGCTTCTCCTGGTCTACCACGCACGAGTGAGCTTGTGCCCTGGTCGGTTCTAGCCCCAGCCAACACACACACAAGCGAGTTCGTCTTGGTTGCACGTGGCCGGTTTGCGTGGGAGGGCGAGGGTGGCGACCAGAGAGGGAGGCGGAGGCACGGCAAGGGGAAGCATGGAGGCCGGCGGGGTGGAGGCAGTGCAGCTGGTGGTGCGGAGGCGCTCGGTGGAGGGCGGCGAGGTTCAGTGGAGATGTGGCGCGGCAGCGCCGAGCAGGGCGGAGCCTAACTGAGGCCTAGTGGGGTCGCATGCGGCCAGCGAGCGTAGAAGGGGCTGGACCTAGGCGGCATATATTAAAAAAATATTCATATGTGAACCCCATGTGAACTGAGAAAATTGTGTTATAGATAGACTGTTGGATAGGTAATCTATAATTTTGACTGCGTGGTATTGAGAGCCTGCTTACTATATTGTCATAGGTGCCTTTAGTCAAATCAAACTACATTTGTGTTTTTTGAACAAAAGTTTCTTCAATAGAGCTGTATTCAAAACACTTTTAAGATAGTGTTGACTTTGTAGCAATTAACAATATAGTGTAGGGGATATTAATGGTCAAAATCTCCTGGAAAATGTTTTACATATGGACAGAGGGTGGATCATTTACATTTTATTAGGATCAGTTGGCATTCTTCCTCATTTGAGCATGAACTTTGTCTTTACCCTCTGCAGAGCGATGCTGCGGATGCTCTATCAAGATTCTATTATCCACCAGTTGCTGCTGTAACTATTTCGTATCCAAAGGAAGCAATTAGAAAAGAATGCTTAATTGATGGGGAGCTCCAGGGTTTTGGCCAATTACATCCACGTAGTCAAGGAGTTGAGACATTAGGTATTTCTTTCAATCATCAAGTCTTAAAGCTCGAAACATATACAGACAGTTTTCTTTCTTTTCAAGCTTGCTTTTATTCTAGCGTTAAATTTAGGCTGAATCCAAGATACAGATAATGCTATAACAGTATTATTGGTAATATGCTTTTGTAGGAACAATATACAGCTCATCACTCTTTCCAAATCGTGCTCCTGCTGGTAGGGTGTTACTTCTAAATTACATAGGAGGTGCTACAAACACAGGAATTGTTTCCAAGGTTAGCAATTCTCTGCCAAACATATTGCCTTGTGTTTTTGTGATTATGATGTGTTTATATATCTTTTTAGTGCCCTTCTTTATGAATAGAACTTTTAGTACCAATAATCTGTTCTTTAATTATCACTATAAACACTAGCTGCACTTTTTTAACACTAACTTCACTCAACTCATGGAAAATTTGAGCTGCTAGTTATGTAGTATGATTTAAATATAGTCTTTATTTGATTTCCTGTTATTGGCTGTATTTTTTATGACCCCATCTCATTTCTAGACTGAAAGTGAGCTGGTAGAAGCAGTTGACCGTGACCTCCGGAAAATGCTTATAAATCCTACAGCAGTGGACCCTTTAGTCCTTGGTGTCCGAGTTTGGCCACAAGCCATACCTCAGTTCCTGGTAGGACATCTTGATCTTCTGGAGGCCGCAAAATCTGCCCTGGACCGAGGTGGCTACGATGGGCTGTTCCTAGGAGGGAACTATGTTGCAGGAGTTGCCCTGGGCAGATGTGTTGAGGGCGCTTATGAGAGTGCCTCGCAAATATTTGACTTCTTGACCAAGTATGCTTACAAGTGATGAAAGAAGTGGAGCGCTGCTTGTTAATTGTTATGTTGCATAGATGAGATGAGACCAGGAGTAGTAAAAGCGTTACCAGTATTTTTCATTCTTATTTTGTAAATTGCACTTCTGGTTTTTTCCTGTCAGTAATTAATTAGATTTTAGTTCTGTAGGAGATTGTTCTGTCCACTGCCCCACAAAAGAATTTTTATTTTGCATTCGTTTCTGAGCTGTGCAGACTCATATGAGTAGCTTTTTTCTGTAAGTACAAACAAAATCAAATACTATTCTGCAAGAGCTAACAGAATGTGCAACTGAGATTGCCTTGGATGATTATTTTGCTTCTGCGTGAAGCATAGAAAAACGCTGTGAGTAGACATGCGAATCTTGGGCAATGTTTTTACTCTCGGTAATACTAATTGCTACTACTATTTGATATTGAACATATTTTTTTGAGGGGAATACAGTAGGGAAAACCCCTACTGTGGTAGTATATATATTAATATATAAAAGAGTTAGCAAAGGTGTACAACAAACCCATCAAGGGTAAAACTAGAAAAACTTTACAGCAGGCTGTTTAGCCAGAGGGAGAGGCTGCGTATAGGAATGGGCTTAAATCTGTGAAGTGTGCTTTATATTATGTACAAAACATGTTTTCCAAGACTGAAAGGAAGCTTGATTTCCTCTGAAGATTTGACCATTTCTTTGTTTCCATATCTCCCATGTTGCAATACTGAAGACTTCCATAAACAATTGATGTTAATATTCAGCTTTTGCTTTCTGGATTGTATCAAAGAAGCTGAGGACATGATCCCAAAAAACTTCCAACACCTAGTGCTGATGGGCATTAAAAAACAGATGATATGTGGTCTCTTCTAGATTTAGATTGCATATAGCACACAATTGTAGTTGTCCCCTTCAATTTTATGGTCTTTTTCTAGATGTGCTCTACCGTTTGATAATACAATACAACTGATTACTGACGATTCATCATAGTAAAGACAGTACCAATACTTTTTTTTTTTTGAAAAAAAAGATTGAGGTAGCACGATCCTTGGATTAGGATGTATATACTAGTACGTGTACTATAGAATTCTCCAGTAGCAGAAGCTTCAGCTTGAAGGAGGATTATTATATTACGGTTGTACTACTGCGGTCACTTACTTTGAGCACCTAGAAAATTAGCGTGTAGTAATGTATCCCAGGATGACAAAGCGAACACACACCTACTCGGGAGCGCAAACCCTGGCCTGGCTGCACACTGTCGAGGCAACAACAATGCAGCTGACGAGTGATTCAATGCACAAGAAACCATGGCAGATCACGGAGGATGAGGGAGCCCTGCCTGGCTGCCGCCTCCCCTCTGTAGCCGGTTTCTACCCTTGGCTGCACCTGCATCGTCTGTCTTTCTGTGGTGATGAAGAGGAGACACCGTGGCATGGTGCCAGGGACCAGGCCGGGGATCCGGCGACCAGCGGCAGACAAGGGCACAATCGTTAGGGTTCACGCTCCACTCCAACACCTTCCTTGGCGTGTGTGCAAGCATGGCTGTCATAGAGCTTTCTAGGTGGCCTTTTTTTCGAGTATGTCTACTACACAATTATGTGTTTTATATAATTCCAACACATGAATTTTTTTACACCCTAAGATTAAGATCCAATAGCCTCTATCCTTCTTCTACCTCTAGCCTTCTTCTACCTTAAGACAATCACAAGATCATAAATCCACGTATCACAAATCACATATCACAGAAAACAATTTTTTTTCTATGAAAAGACAAAATACAAAGAGGTTGGTTCCTGGCGCCGGTGATGCAGCCGCCGCTGACCCCGATGCGATCCGGGCTGTGGCCCGCCCGCCAGGGAGTCGGGATCCTCGGTCGCCGGCTCGGGGAGGCGCCGCCGCGCGGAACTGCCGGAGGGCCAAGGCGGCTGGCGGGAGGCCGGACGCCGGAGGCGCTAGGCGTGGTTGCGGGCTCCTCCTCGGCACCTCTCCGACCATGGTCATTGCTAGCTCACCCAGCACACACCGGGCTCCTCCTCGCCGGTCCACTTTGCACGTGCCTTTCTCACACCGGCTGGACCACGGCGCAGCGTGACGGCTCGCCTCGAGGCACCGCCTCCGCCCTCGACCATGGCGGCCGCCGCGGGAGCGAGGCGTGATACGGACGCAGATCTGACGATGCAGACAAACGGAGGCAACAATCCGATGGACTAAAATCCATGTGTGTTTTTTATGATAAAACACACGTGTGTTGTATAGCATTTCTGTTTTGGTTTTAACAACGGGCCTGTTTGCTGGTTGGTGCTGGTGCTGGTTTGGGCTGGCTGGTGCTGGTTTTTTGTGAGAGGAAAACACTATTGGCTAGCTGGTTTGGGCTGGCTGAAACCAACAAGCGAACAGGCTGAACAGCTGGTTGTTGTGTACTCGTAGCACAGTAGCAGTGCTGAATTTTTAGCCCTCCGAACGAAAGCAAGAACAAGGCAGACAGTGTTGGCTGCACCCTGCAGAGCACACAAAATGTAGGCCCTCTGATGAAGCTTCAAGGGGGAGTAGGGTCCTCGAAATTAAGAGTGCTACCACCAACATCGCCGGTGGCCTGACTTCACGTAGAATAGGGGCACAAAGGTCAAAATTAGGACAACTACACGTGGATGTACTTCAGGTTTAGTCCACGGAAAGAACAAGTACCCATGCTAAATTCCTACCAAGGGCACCCGCAATAGCAAGAGTCAGGGTTATACTATCGTTAGCTTTAGCAATGGCTCATACTATTGTTAGGGTTATATAACACTCTCATATGTCCTTGTAATGTGTGTACGAGCTTAGCTTTTATTAAGAGCTAGCTTTTCTCTCTCTTGTATTAGATATGAATACGCCCTGTTCGCTTATGCTGAAATTTGACTTATGCTGATGTTTATGGTGATTTGTTGTGAGAGAAAAATACTGTTCGTTTGTTGAAAAGTACGGTTGAAGTAGTTCAAGCGAACAAGGCGAAAATACTTAGAGCTAACCTATGCGTCGGGTGCCCTAAGGGCTTGTTTTGTTATTTAGGATTGATGTCCTGGAACTATTCCCAACTAGAATGATTGAGTAATTTGTATACAACTTATCAGCTGGATTGGTTTCTGACCCCATTCCTGAATAACCAAACGGCCCCTAAATGATCGTTCACCAAATTGAATTGCCGCTTCACAAACAAACGGCACTGTGTTATTGGCTAGCGAGGTGCGATTTTATTCAGGTAGGTAGGGTGCACACTATCTGCCTCTGCCCTAATCATAGCGTTATTTAAATCGTTGAAAGATTATAGTGCACCTTTTAAATTTTAATTAATTTCGTGTGAGGCAAGTGAAGGGGCGATCGAGTTGTTTGTTGGTCAGGTGTTTTGAGGGCCGGGGTTTAGCTTAGTTTATTACCACTCCTCTCGGCGTCCGTCCTATGTGCTTTGACAAAGATAGACATCTTTTATTCTTTTGGTTGTTTTGTTTATAAGCAAAGTATATATTATTACTGCTGGTACTAGGTGATGACGCTTAGCTTTTCTGCATTTCCAACTTTTGACTCGTATATGAGAGAAGCAGCGATTGTAGCTGCTGCTGCTGCTGTCTCTCGAGTAATGAATTCATCATCACACTGTTGAGAATTTGAGATGCCCCGACCCCGAGTAATAAGGAATTCGAGTCCGAGGTGGTGGCGAACGGCAGCGACACCGATACGTGAAACGCGCACACGGCTCGCTCAGGTGTGAGGCTAACACGTGGAGTGGCACACACTTGCTGAGCGGTGAATAAATCTGAAGCGTTAAAAGCAGATCAAATAATGTAAATTGTTTTTTGCTAACGTAGACGGACTCAGTGACGGCCAAAGTCAGCTAGCTTGATAAGAGTAGATGGACACATGTGGACAGGACAGGTGGACACAAAAATCTCCTGCTAGGCTCGTAGCCCAGGAGAAATGCTCTTGGAATTCTGTCGTGCTTATTTCACTTTAACAAACAAAGCTGTGAGGAAGAAAGAGAAGGATGAACGATGTCAAATCGATTGCCCTGAATACTCGGTTCAGTCATTGCGAGGAAGGAACAAACAGACAAAGCCGTGGAGAAAGACAAGAGGAAGAACGATGTCAAATCGATTGCCCTGAATACATATTCAGTTCACAACAATGACTGAACAAGAACAGATGTGGCTGCTGATTAGCCTGATTTGAGGATGGATGATGCAGATCGGCGGGTGCGGGGCGATGACTGCTGTCATGCCATACGCTATGTTACACGGATACGTCCAGGAAGGCGCGTCATACGGATCGTCCGATACGCTAAGGATACGTGACGTCGGAGTATCCGAATTTTAATAATTTTCGTGAATATTGGCGTGGGCTGATACGACGGGCACGGATACGGAAGCATCACATACAGACACTACTAGTCGTTGTCTAGCGACGCCTGCCTCCGACGCTGTCTCCGTCCCTCGTCTCCTCCCAGACATCCGCCTCGCGCTCTTGCATTGCTCTGCAGCTGGTGCCGGGCTCTGGACTTTCACCGCAACCACGGCCAATTCTCTCGCCAACCCCGCACGGCATGGCTCCACGTGCGCCGACGCGCCCTCGTGGCGGCTGCCATACTCCTGAGTATTGTTTGTTTCTCTTTTAAGTTGACAAGTGACTGAGTGCCAACCTCAACCGTTCTTTTTAAACCTACGCTCTAAATCCTCATTTACAGAGATGTTCTGCAAGACTGCTTGGCAAGGATACTTCCTTTTTTTAAATAAATTATTGATATTGAATCTCAAAATTCTGGACAGTCTTGGAGATTAGAATGGACAATTGAAGATTTGAAAATTAATTATTTTATATTATTTTTACATCTTTCACAATTTTAATATGGGTCCCGTATCCTTCCGATACCGATACGCGTATCCGTATCCGTGCAACTTTAGGCCATACGTCGCGTGCGTGGGCACGGAACGGAAGCATACAGACACTACTAGTCGCTAGCCGTGCCTCCCTGTCTGTCCCCG